TGCACTAGACATTTTAATTTCCTTTTGTATTGGTTTGCCCATGGGCTCCATCTGACGTGATTTAAACCATGTAGGCAAATAGCACTTATAGTCACTATTTAGACACTAATGGTCAAAAGTATTTTTAAATTCAATTTGAAAGAGCACAGAGCATCATCTTGTAGTATTAAATTTTGCAGCTACACTCTGCCAAAGATTTATTAGATAAAGTAAAAGCGTTCCACCATCCCAGAAACATACATCTTGTTCAAGTGCCAACCGCCGCTCATGCAAAGCTTGTTTCCTTCTTTCCAAGCTGGCTTGTAAAATTGCATTTCCTCTAGCCTACAAAACATGGAAATTCAGTAAATAACCAATTACTATAACCAAATACCATTTCTTCAGATAACAAGGTTGGGAAGGTGACACCACCTCCTTGGCAATTCTCTGTTGCAAGTCATTTTTGGTCATCTCAAGCCTCTGAATAGCAAGTCTACAAAATAGTTTAAATTTGTCTTCAGGTAACAGTTCAGTTCATAGTGAAGTAGGATCTGGAAGGGGAGGAGAAAAATACCCGTGAAACCAACCAAAAAGGATAAGAGAAAACTACTATTTTAATAACTTTAGTTGTTCCATTGTTTTCCTTCAAAGATTCACACATTTCATTCTAAGTGCCCAAGAAGAGAGTTTACAACCAAAAAGAGAGTTCTTTTATACATAAGAAACAGATCAAGATATCTCATTTCAAGAAAGAATCCCGCCAACAAGACTGCCTAAGGGATGAAGGGACAAGACAGTCCCTTTTCCAGTCGAAGGGTCATACAACCAAAAAGAAAAAGAGAAATGATGCTACCCCAATTACTCTATGAGCGTGAAAATCTGGTCCACAAATAATTTTTTCCAATTTCATTCTAACCAAATGTCCAAAAGGTGGAAACTGCAAAACTAAGTCCTAAGCACCCCTTGCCATGTCAATCCTCACGTCTTCTATAACAATAGCAGAATTTTTTTCTCTCTTCAATTAGTAAGAAAATTTAAAACATATGATGAGCTAATAAATAACACAGCATGCGGACAGATTGCATCTATTAAGAAAAAGGCCAATGAACATCTTACTCTTCTTCTCCAGAAGAATCTACTGACTCAATTGAGGGTGTCTTTCTAGCCTGCACCAAATGAAATCAAGATGATCAAGTTTTAATTTAATGAACCAAGCAAATATTTCAATGTCCAGATTACAGCTAAAGAGTACCTGTATTAATATCACTTGTCAATATTAGTGATAAAAAGAACAATAAATAACTGCAGGCAGCACCTCAACTAATCCTCTAGGGATACTGTACATGCCTCCACATCATACTCAATTAACTTGAAAATAGATTCTAACCTAAGATCTCAACATTTGTATGCCCAATCCTCAAACTGTCGACCAGCCCATAAGGTGAGGAAGGGGCTATCATTGCTAGTCAATCCTCATGTTTCATTGCTAGTCATAGCTTAAGGACTCTCATCCTTATCAAAGGACTCGTTCGGGACTCGCCCCGAGGTGGTTTGTGCTTCATCAAAAGGCTCAGATGTTAGCACCACCTTTTCACGAGCTGCCCCTTAATATCATGCCTATAGAGAAGAACTTACGCTATTTTTATACTTCTTGTGTTTCCTAGTAGTGTTGACTCAATCATGTCCGGATTGTTTCATGGGTGATGTGGTTGGGAAGGAATTGGAGGCTTTTTCAGAATATGGATAGACTGGATTCTACGTTTTTGCAGCTTCTTGGAATCTTGCTTAAAAGAGATTTCTAATTACTTCACTATTTCTTGTCCAGAGTAGTTCTTGTACTTTTTAGATTTCCTTGTTTGTTTTGTCTTTTATATCTTTTCTTCTCTTCTTTTTGTTTTTTCACTCTTTTGAGAATGTGTATCTTTGAGCAATTTGGCCCGACGAGCGGTCCACATGCTGCATCCCTACTCACCTAGTCCATGCACATTGCTCTCTCCAGGACATAATGTTTTTTACGACACCGGAATCGATTTCTGCCATTTCCGGAATAAAGGAACTAGCAGCCATCAAGACTGAACGAGATGAGGTAGGTTTGGGAGTGGAACTTTCTTTGCTGAGAAGCAGGTTGTTGCTGTTGGGTTGTCACAGCTTGGACGTTGTTAATTCATTTATTTCTCTCAGGGTTGGGTTGCTTTGGTTTTGGAGCATTTCATGTAAGGTAAAGGCGTAAAGCGAGGAGTTGAGCTTGAACTGGCAAACTGAAGTCACTTTCGGAACCATACTTCCTACAGCTAACATGTGTCCACCGGGAACGTGCAGCGAAACGGGTTTAAAATTTAATTAATATTAATATTAATATATATATTCATTTCATCAATGAAAAGTTCGTATTTTGTTAAAAAAAGTTACTTCACTATTTCTTCCAACAAGAGAGTTTCTTTCCACTCCATTGAAGTACGCAGCCTCCCTACCTCTTGTATGTTTCATCCTTCAATAGACATAGTTTCGTATCGCACAAAAGAAAAAACGAGAGAGAGAGAGATTGAAGAAAAGAAATCTCTCTTTGGGAGGAAATCCCAGATAGAATTTTGGGCCAAACGTCAAAAGCTTGATGTTGAAGCTCTAACAATGGAAGATATATTATTTCAAGAGGGAGAAGACTAACTTACATTCAAGTTTGATTTCCAACATTCCCAAATACTACTCCAGAGCTACTTCCTCCACAAAAGGTTTTGTTGTTTTGGCATTCACGTTTTGTGTGGAATTGGATGTTATTGTCAATTAGACAAGTTGAAAAGGTGCAGCCATGGTTAGATTTTTGTTGGCTTGGAGGGGGAGGAATCTTTCGAGTCGTTTCTTCTTGATATGCAGTCAATGTCGTAGAAGAGCGTTTTGTTGTTGATGCTGCTTTTGTTAAGGGTTTTGAAAGTTATAGTGTGGTCTCCTTGATTCTTAAAGGCTTGGATGGATTTTATGCCAAGTTTCCTAAATTTTTACGTAGTTGGTTCTTTACAAGAAGGCTAGTTCTGAAAGTAACACTTATGATTTTTGTCATTATTCTTTCTAGTTCTTTTGTTTTGTTTCTTTTTCTTCTCCCTTTGGGAGTTTGTATCCTTTGAACAATTTTGTTCCTTTTCATTTGAGAAGTTTGTATCTTGTTAAAAATATATATATACTAATAATAAATAATAAATAAATAAACTACTCTATTTATCAGTCTTGAAGATTCTGAAGATATATGCTATGGACGCTGAAAAACTATCAGATATTTTCTTTTGGGAAGAAGTTGTTAAAAGGGGCAGCTCTAGAAATGAAAGAAATCTTATTTTGCTTGCTTCTTGTTAGAATAAGCTATCGATATAGAGTGCAGATTGATGGCAATGCTGTCGTGCATGGGGGTGATCCAGCTGAAAGCTTGTATGAGGGCACATCCCAAAAAACACTGGCCAAGGCACAATCCACAAAAATGTGATCTTGAGATTCATTGTTCGACTTGCAAAGAGGGAAAATATTGGGGGTAAGAGCAAATGTAGAGAACTTTCATTGCTAGTAGTCCATAGTATTAATTTTGCTTATAATCACCTCCCATAAGAAGATTTTACTTTACAGGGGTATTTTCCTTTCCAAATCAGCTGGGTGAAGTTTTGGTGAATGGGGGGTTTTTGGCAGTCAAAAAATGATGAATGGATTTATAGGAAAACTGACCTTCTGGATCAAGGGGATGGAAAATATCTTTACCAAGGATAACCTGGATAATCCTTTGGAGCTTGATACGAACATTAGTAAGGGTAGATACCTTTGAACAAGCGGGAGGTGGAGTGCCAAAAAGTAATATTCCTAGTGGTCCATTTTTTTAATGGGAAATCGAACATCTAATTGAGAAAAATAAAAAAAGACAAAATACACAAGAGAAAAGCCCAAAGAAAGGAAGCTCATCTAAAGAAAGGGGCTCCAATCTAGCAAGATAACACCTAGTTGATAATTACAAAAAAAATCTTAGAAACTGATCCCCACTGGAAAGTATTAAATCTAGTAATCTCCCAAACATAATCTCTGTATATCTCCATCCCTCAAAAGACTGTTATTTCGCTCAATCCAAAGCTCCCATAAAATAGCAAATAAACAAGTCTTGCCACATAAAACTTTCCTTATCCATGGACTATTATTAGTTTAATTTTCTTTCCTTATCCATTACCTCCCACTCATCCACACTAATTATAGAATATCTTTGTATTGTATTTCCTTATCTAGTTTTAGGTTAGCTTTCAAGAATTCATGAAAGCAATCTTTTTACGTAAGTTCTCATGCAGTTTATAAGCAGGAAGAGAGAGAATATTTTCACTTTCAATCTAAAATTTTTCAACTAGGAAATTAAAAACTTACATTGCTCCTTCCCCAAAAAGTTGTTCGCTTAACATTAATATTTGAACTTGAAACTTTACCAACTGGCTTCCCAGAACTTGACTCGTTCCCTGGATCCATCGAATTTAAGATCTCTCCCATTGATCGGTAACATTCGCCAGCAGGTGAGATATTTGAAGTTTCCATCTCAGTCAAGGCATTCGTGTTTCCTTTCTTTTGTTTGCCTTGTTCCCCAAGCGGTTGAACATTGGAATCAGAGTTCTTATGATGATCGGGACATGAGTTTGAAATCTCAGCTAAATCATGATTTTCTCTTGGGGATCCAACATCTGAGTCATCACCTCCAAATGGCTGTTCGTGTACAGAAATTAATGCTGTTAATTGGCACTTCTTTTGATAACAAGGATAATTATTCAAGCAATAGATAGAAACAAATAGTACTGGCAAACAATGGCACAAAGTTCCATCAACCTGAGATATCTGTGTTAAGTTAAGATTAATAAATGACAAATACAGTTACTTATCCAGATCTTGCCCTAGCGAGGATCCTAGGTATTTCTGGATAGAACTGAAGCATCTAATTAGCTGGAGAAACTGCAACATTATCACTTGCATGACTCAAAGACACATAGAGCTACTGAAGAGCAGAAATACAGCCAAGAAAAAACGGAAATTACAAAAATTAATTGCTACAATAATGGTAAATGTTTCAAATTTCAAGTAAATTTTCTTATTAAATTGGAATAGACTGCTTCTTATAAATCCCTTGCCTCCAGATTGAAGAAATATCTTATACCCCTTGCTTCTATTTTTATAACCCTTTATAAGACCAATGATATGTCTCTGTTTCTGATTAAAAAAATAATAACAAAATAAAGATCAGGCAAAAGTTAACCAACAAAAACGAACAATGTTTTATAAGTAAAAAAATGAGAACCTTATAGTCATAAAGATCACTCCCTGCATAGCCACTACTTTCACTCAACTTTCCACTGAGTACACGCTCAGGGTCCTCATCTGTGTCTGGACCAACCTCATTTTCTGCATCGTGATAGCCGTTGCCTTTCACATCAAGATTTTCATCATCAGTGGAATCATCACTTCCACTATTTTCAATCTGAGAATCTGCTGAAATTGAGCATCTGTGTAGGTTTTCATCCTGGAAAGGAATCATGAAAACAAAACACATTCATAATCGTAGTTTCTTTTTTTTGAAATGCAATTAATAAGAAAATTAGACTTTGTTTTTTCAGTGTTACTATCATACCATGTTTGCCCTTCCTCTAGCTCGACAAGATTTTGTGTATAGAAGATTCTTTTTTCTTATGAGAAACCATACTTTCATACAGCAAATGGAAGGATATACATGCGGGGCAATACAAAAAAATCAGCCTAAAGCAGAAAACAAAGGCAAAAGCCAAAGAAAGGCTCAATACTATAAAAGAATGCTGCTTAGATCTTGATGATAAGAAACGTAAATACAAAATTCTATGGTGATAGACCCCAAAGGGAGGCATTGACCAAACCATAGACCGAACCCCTACCTCAAGACAACTCCATGAGTTCTACATGTTTGGCAAGGGTCGATCTGCCTCTATGAGTTCTACATGTTTTCTTCCATTTCTAAACCTTACTACTAATCTCCTCAAGTGTTACCCCCTCAGAAGCCTCTACTCCTAGGATTTCCACCGGAGACAAACCAAGATAGGTAAGGAGCCACTCCTCTAATTGTAAAGAGAAATGGTGGGCCAGTGCATTGGTCTCTGACTCTCTGCCAAGACAGCCTCTTTTCAGTGAAGTCTCTCTCTATTTTCCTCTAAAAAGTGGAGGTGTTTCTACCCAAAGCCTCTTGCAAGAGAGTGTGACAATCCATTGTTCTTAAGAAATGCAAGGTTTTCCTTCGTGATTTCTCTTAGGGTGGTCTTAATACAAAGGACATAATTCAAAAGAGATTCCAAATTGTAATCTTCAACCAATATTGGAAGATGTCAACATCCTTTCTTATGTTTTTTTTTCCTTGCTCTGGCTCAGATTGTTAGAGATCTTTAATTTCAACCTCCCTCTCCTTAGATCGTTGA